AGTCATCTCTCTAGACCCCATTTTTGGATTTCTGAGGAACCTCCATACTGCTGGTGTTCATAGTGGCTCGACGAGCTCACATTCCCGCTAACAGAATAGAGACATTTCATTTCCCCACATCCTCACTAACACTTGCTGTTTACATTCTTGATGTGAGCCATTCTGCCAAGGGTGATAGACTCTCTGTAGTTTCGGTGCACCTTTCCCTGATGTTGCATATTTTTATGTAATTGTTGGACAGCTGCATTTCTTAATTTGAAAAGTGTTCAGTTCATTTGCCCACATGGTGGTTGAATTACTTGTTCTTTTGGTGTTTCATTTTGGGGTACTTTATATATTCTGGATAACCCTTTGTTAGACGAATAGTTGGCAAAGACTTCCTCTTTCTTTACTGCTGAGTAGAACTCCATTGTGTAAATGAACCACATTTTCATTATCCACTCGTCAGGTGAGGGACACCTAGGTTGCTTCCATCTCTTAGCTAGAGAGCAGCAACCAACATAGATGTACAAGTATCTCTGCAGTAGGACGAGTTCTTTGGGTATATGCCAAGGAGTGGTATAACTGGGTCAAACGGTAGGTTTATTTGTAGTTTTTTAAGAGTTCTCCACACTGCTTTCCATAGGGGTTGAACCAGTTTGCAGCCCTACCAGCAGTGAATGAGGAGCATTCCCCTTTCTCCACATCCTTGCCAGCATTTGGTATCATTTGTTATTTTGATCTTAGCCAGTCTGGCTGGGGTGAGGTGAAACTTTAAGGTGGTTTGAATTTGCATCTCCCTAATTACTAATGACGTTGAACACTTTTTAAGATGTTTCTTAGCCATCTTTATTTCTTCTTTTGAGAACTCTCTGTTCAGATTCTTAGCCCATCTTTTAATTGGGTCACTTGCTTTCTTGTTTTATGAGAATTTATATATTCTGGATGTTAAACCTTTGTCAGATGAGTCACTGGTGAAGATTTTCTCCCACTCTGTGGGTTTTCTCTTTACTTCCTTGGTTATTTCTTTTGCTGTACAGAAGCTTTTTAGTTTAAGGAGGGCCCACTTGTTGATTCTTGACCTTAATTCCTGAGCAACTGATGTCCAGTTTAGAAAATCCTTTCCTACACCTATATCTTGTAGGTTATTGCCAATGTTTTCTTCTACTAGTTTCAAAGTTTCAGGTTTCACATTCTTTGATCCATTTGGAGTTGACTTTTGTGCAAAGTGAAAGATAAAGGTCTAGTTTCATTCTCCTATAGGAGGAGATCCAGTTTTGCCACCACCATTTGTTCTTGGCCCCTTTGTCAAATATCAGGTGGCTGAAATTGCATGTACTCATGTTTGGGTCTTCAATGATGTTCCATTTGTCAATGGGTCAATTTTTGTGCCAGTACCATGCTGTTTTTATGACTATAGCTCTGTAATATATTTTGAAATCTTGTATAGTAATCCCCCCATCATTGTTCTTTGTGCTCAGGGTTGGTTTGGCTATTCAGGGTGTTCTGTGGTTCCATATGAAATTTAGGATGGGTTTTTCTAATTTGTGAAGAATACCATGGGAATTTTGATTGGCACTGCATTGAATCTATGAATGGCTTTTGGTAGAATGGCTATTTTCACAATATTAAGTCTTCCAATCCATGAGCATGGGAGGTCCTTCCATCTTCTGGTGTCTTCCTGAATATTTTTAAAGTGGTACTTAAGAACAGTCCTCTCATTTTAAAATTAAAAAATTTTGGAACTCTGAGGCTGTGTCTTAACCTAGATCACAAAGTTTGTCACTGGCAGGGCTATAATTAGAATCAAGGTCTTACCATGATACCAGGTCATCCCTTAAATTATAACTTAATAGTGTGCCCCCAACTGCACTTGATCACAATTTCTACTCATATACTTTCAAGTTTTCATAGACGGGGTAAAAAAAAACTACATGCAGCATCCCCCCAACAACAAGTGTCTACTCTGATTCACCACTAAATTGCTATATGCCTAGATGTTTTTATAAGTAAATTCTGACTATCTGCATTTGTCCAAGTTATTTAAAATCACAGAAAGATAGCTTTCTAAATCACTTTAGTAAGCTACTAAAACCCAAACCTGGTAAGAGAATTAAAAAAAAAGACAAAAACAAAACTAATCTCACCAAATCAGTAGATGTAAAAAACATAAACCCTCCTATAGCATTTACTATGAATCAAGAATTGGTGTAGATGTTTTACATACTTTGAAGAATTTGATCCTCAAGGCCCTTCAAGGTGGTGGTAGCTCTCTCTGGTTTTTAAAAGGAATTGCAGGGAGCTGTGATAGTCAGCATCCACACCAAGCAATATGGCTCCAAAATGCTAGGAAATCAACCTATCTATGCACTAAATTTAAAACATTACAGGGGTTGTGGGGAGTTCAGCTTCGTGGGAAGATGCACTTTGCATGTACAAGGCTGAGTTCAATCCCTAGCACCAAAACAGCACCAACAAACACATAGGGATTTCCCAGCAACGTAAACAGTGTGTGCTAATAGAGGCCCCCAAATTTAATAGAAAATATTTTATATAATATTCTTAATCAAATAAGGATGATAAAGATCACTCATCAAATGTAACACCAAAAAAATAAAAGCCCATAAAAATAGTAAGCTCCATGTGAAGTTGTCTATTTAGTTTACTACTGAGCTTTAAGCATGCAGAATAGTTCCTGGGACCTAACAGGCAGTAAAATATTTCACATGTTGTTAAAAAATAACAAGAATTTCCACTGCATTAGGAAAAACACTGGCAAAAGTGATTAGACTCTATTATTTCACATCATCTAGGAAGTTATACCTAATGCATCATACTTAAAACACTAGCAGAGAAATAAAAATTATATTAATTTCCAGGTTATGTAACAGTGAAGTGAAAAAATTCAAAGATACAAGTAAAGAATGATTAGAACAATTATAAGCATTCAATAAGGGAGCAGATATTAAATTACATTATTAGATTACATTTTTTAAAAAACTATTTTTCCTTTACACTAGGAATAACCATTTAGAATTAAATAAAGAGAAAACTAGCACCTGAAAGGCCAACATGCAAAAGACAAATTTAACCAGAATTATTTAGGGTCTAAGAGAAGAAAATTATAATATGTCCTTAGATGTAAAACAAAACCCACTTGAGCAGATGGGGAACCTTATTAGAGAGCAAAATGACATATAATGACTACACTGACAAATAAAACCCTTGCTGAAAGATGTATTTGGAAGAATAAACATATAGAGATTCACAAAAAAAAGTGTTTGAACAGAATAGTGAGGGTGATCTTTCCTATCATATAGTAAACATGTAATACTGCAAAACTGTCATAATATTACTACTACCTTTATTAGTAGCCTATATTGCTCTGCGTACTAAGTATGTAACACACAATTTAGTCCTCGACTCAATGAGATTTTTACTTTTATTTTAGAGATTAAAAAAAAAACTGAAATACTAAGGTTGAACAACAAAACAAATATTCAAGACAGGAAAAGGCACACTATGATGGGACAGTCATTGACATCATTCTGGAAAAGTAATTGGGTTATCTTTATTCATTGGCTTAACATTTCTTGAATGGCCAATATTCACCAAATTCTATTCTAGAACCCAGAAATAAAGCAATGAAAAACACAGATATTATTTACTACCATATATAATTATATATCCTAATGTGAAGAGACAAAATAGCAGAAGGAAAGTCAACCTTCAGAGCATGATAGAGATGCAAAAAAGGAAATAGAACTGGGTGAGACAAGAGAAGCAAAGTGGAAGAGACTGGTTTTAATCAGTGTCCAAGAAGCCAGAAAAATGTTAATCTTATTAAGATATGCAACAAGCCAAAGTCCAGATAAGGAGAGGAACAAAGCCCCAAGCTGGGACTAGCCACCAACGCTTAAGGAATAGAAAGCAGGTGTGGTGGTTTGAATGAAATGTCCCTGCCTCTAGGCTCTAAGTGCGTGGACAGTTTGTCTCCAGGTGGTGGTGCTGTTTTGGAAAGGATTCTTAGGAGGTGTGGCCCTGTAGGAGGAAGCATGTCACTGGGCTTTGAGAGCTCTTAAGCCTTGCAGGACCCCCAGTTTCTCTCTGCTTCTTGTGCCTCTTGAAGATATGAGCACCTCCTGCTCCCATGCGTCCCACCATGGCAGACTAATGCTTCTGGAACCATAAACTCAAACTCTTCTTTAAGTTACCTTGATCACAGTGTTTTATCACAATAAAGAAAATAACTAATACAGCAGACAAACGTGTCTGGAGTAGAACAAGTATGCTATAGAAAGTAGGTGTTTACTATGGGAGCTATGCATCTGTCTTTAATCCAGCAATGTCAATGCCCTACAGTGATGACAGCAGACATATTAAAACTATATGCAGAAGACTGTTATTTAGACATTTTGTGAAATGAAACTGCCTAGAAAAAAATGAGTGTTGATTATTTAGAAAGTGGTAATTAGATCACAATACAACATGCATGAAAAAAGTTGGATGCTACCACACTGACCTGGGAAGAGGTCCTAGAGACGGATGTGAAGAAAGCAAGCAGACTAATGCATATGAAATGATTTTGTTTTATTAACGTGGGCCTTGTGAAATATAGTGCCATTAACTTTACCCCATGTCTAGTTCATTTGGAAGGTATTAAGGTACTTAACCTTGTACTTTGTTTCCTCCCACTCCAAGCAAACATCCTCCTGTGTATCACCTGCCTGCCTCTTCCTCTAATTCAATCCCTGTAAGCCCTTGGCTCACCCTCTTTCCACTGCTCATTTCCTTACCTGGGAACATGAGCGATAGAGCAAACATTTAAAGAGTGCAAAGGAGAACATTTGCTTATCATTTAAAGCTATGATGTATTCTAACTTTGAAGAGACTAAACTAGATCTAAAAGTCAGGTGATGTCATAACATTTGCTTAAAAATCAGAAGTCACATGAATAATTAAAGCAATTAAATATTCAGTTGGCTGTTACACTCGGAAAGACACAAGTGAGTTATTCTTACCTCTACTTTTGTTCGATAGAGAACAAGTCGTTTAAGGCTGCAGAGCTTGGCAATGTGGTTGAAAGCTTGAGGTGGTAGCTTATCACAGGATGAGAGATTTAAGTCTTGAAGATGTGGACACATTTCAGAAATAACCTCCAAGCAACTTTCATTAAGGAAGTGGCTGCAAGATAATTCAAGGCGCACTAATTCGGATCCACACACCCTCAGAAACCTGTGGGAACAATGCTTCATGGATATTTTATAAAACTTAAAAATACTTTTTTTAAGAACTCTGAAATTATATCACCTCTGAACAGACATTCTTAGAATGGATTCCTACTAGAGAAAATAACTAACTTGTTTCACTTAAATTCTTCTTTAATGAACACTGAAATAGGTCATAGTTAACTAAAATAAGCTGAGAAGGTAAAATAGATTCACATTGTACAAAGTCAAATGAAAATTTACAGAGGAGATAATTCTACTTAACTTGTAATTAACATCTGAGTTGATAAAATAAAAAACAATGAAACTCTACACTCTGAGAATATAGCACACCTTAATAATGCCCATTCAGAATAAAGTCATATATTTTGAACACTGCATACAAAATGATAGCTTTAATTAAATGACCTCAAAACAAATCAGACTAGCTTCTGCTTAATTAAGAGAATACCTAGGCTGGTTTAACTGTTCTGTTGTGGTATGTTCCTTGTAGCTATTACTATTTAGTAGCTGGATTGCTTGATGTTGAAATTATAAAATATTCGATTGCACACAAAATATACAGAAATAATCCAAAATAAAGGACAGAAAATGTTTTATCAGGAGAATTACAGTATTTATCTTAGTTGCATTATAGTTGGAGTTGAAAAGTTCTGTTCATGGCTATCACTGGAAAATAATCTACATGTCAACCCAAATCTGGGAGTATTTAAGTATATGAAACTTTATCAGCTAAGTAAACTGAACCCTCACACAGTACACCAAAGTACACCAATTATCCCCATCAAGTTCTTTTGAACCTTATCTTACCATTAGTGTCACATGGGACACAGTAGCACTATTAACTTATAACCACAGCTTTTTTTTTTCCCTAGAGGACTTAAGAACCTAACAAATAGGTATGCAAAATAAAATTGAACTAAATCATATATAATCAGATGAACTAAATCACTCATATAAGTAAAGGAACACTGGACTACAAAGAAAATATAGATTTAAAAATTCTGCCTGGCGTGGAGGCGCACGCCTTTAATCCCAGCAGAGGCAGGCAGAGCTCTATGAGTTCAAGGCCAGCCTGGTCTCCATGGTGAATCCAGGGCAGCTGGGGCTACAGGGAGACCCTGTCTCAAAAAGACCAAAAAACTAAAGAACCACAACAAATTCTTATTTATTTTTATTTTATGTGTATGAATATTTCGCCTGCAGTATGTAAGTGCACCCTTGTATGCAATGTCCACAGAGGCCAGAAGAGGGTGATGGATCCCCTGTAACTGGAGTTACAGGCAGTTGTTAGCCACCATGTGGCTAACTGAACCCAGGTCTTCTGGAAGGGTGGCCAGTGCTCTTAACCTCTGAGCCATCTCTCTAAGCCTCCCTTCCCCTTTTATTTTTACCCTGTTCTACTGCTTCCAAGGAGTGACCACAGAGAGCCATCTGCCATGTCTCAACACTTTCTCTGCTGTAAAAAGGCAGACTCGAACAGCACTTACCACATTGTCTCATGGTTTTGAATATCAAAGTAATATATGAAAGCAGTTTGCAAGATCAAAACGCCCCACAAACATTAAAATGTAAGTTATATCTTGGATAGTTCGTTTACTTAAAAAAACTGTGTGTGTGTGTGTGTGTGTGCGCGGGCACGCGTGCGCACCTAGAAGCACATTCCACAGCGTGCAGGTGGATGTCAGAGGGCAACACCTTTGTGGAGTCAGTTGTCTTTCCACCTTTATACTGGTTCTGAGGATCTAACTCAAGTAGTCAGGCTTCCGTGGCCAGGACTTTTACTTCATTGGGTCATCTTGCCAGTCCATAGCTCTCTTTAAAAATAAAATTCTCATGTTTTTGATTTACTTTAAAAAGTCCACACATTTACACCCAAACACCCACCATTTGTATTTTGCTCTACCTAAATTTACCTTTTCCTTTTAAGCTTATAAGTACTTGCATTATGTGATTTGTGATATTCTACACAATTGCCACTCCTTTAAAACTCTGAGGCTCATTTTGTGACTCCCTTGCTTGGATCTCCATAACTCTATTTCCTGTGCTAATTATATTAGCTAAACTACAGTGTTCATCCAGCACCTTCATGCACGAAGCAAACAGCTACTGAACTTCCATAATGACACAGACAGCAGACACTGGGAGATATCATTGACAAAACATCCCTACTCTCCTGACGCTGACTTAGATTTTAGTGAGGGGGGGAGACTAGAAACAAGAAAATGAGTTAAATAAACAGTATATTAAAGAGTGAAATGGAGCTAGAAAGATGGCTCAGCGGTTAAGAGTACAGACTGCTCCTACAGAGGACCTGGGTTCAATTCCCAACACCCATATGGGAGCCAACAACATCTGTAATTCCAGTTCCAGGAGACCCAATGCCTTCTTCTGACCTCCAAGGGCATTGCACAACATGGGCACACTTACACACATGCAGGCAATACACTCATACACATTAAAAAAAAAAAAAAAAAAAAAAAAAAAAGGAGTGAACAATGCCAAGGGCAAAATAAAAGCTGGAAAGGGCCATAAGCGCGTGACGGGAGAAGCTTCACGAGGGGTTGGAGACGACCTGAAGCACAAGAGGTCAGCAAAGGGGACATCCAGAGGAAGCCCTTCCAGGCAAACGGGCTTTCTGGTCGGAGCTGGACACTCAATAGAGCAAGGCGGTGCGAGAAGGCACAGGTGACAGAGAGCGAGTACATCAGAGGGACACGGCACTTCACTGCATCACTCTAAAGGCTTTGGCTTCTGAGAGAGAAGGGGCTCCCAATCACCAGCCGCTTTGAGCCAAAGTGGAAAACCACCTCCTTGTGAACTTGGTGAAGAGAAGAGAGCACGCTGCATCCTGATGGCACCAAATGTGGTGACACTGAGGCTCTGGATCCAGCACTAACTGATGACATGCCTCCAGCACATACATGGAGCGCCGCATCACTGTTTCCCACCGCTTTTCTAACTACAATTTCTATTTACTAGTATTTTATATTGAATTTTATATGATTCTTCAAATCCTTTGGAGACTGAACTAGATCCTTGGTACACACAGGATTTAGCACCAAATATAGTGTTAAAAACGTCAACATGACAGCATCTAGGACAAGTATCTGGGCGTGCCTGTGAAGGATTATCTAGATTAGGTTAACTGAGCTGGGAGACCCACCTTAACTGTGGGTGGGGACATTCCATGGGCTGAAATACTATACTGAAAAAAAAAGAACAAAGTGAGTTATGTACTAGCATCTATGTCTCTCTGTGCTTCCTGACCTCAGATGCAATGTGACCACACTTGCTTCAAGAGTTTATTGCCATGCCTTCTCTGCCCCCATATAAACTCGGCCCTGGGATTGTGAGCCAAAATAAACCCTTCCTTCCTAACACTACATTTGTTATGGAATTCTGTCACAGCATCAAGACAAGTAAAAAATATATCTGACATTGAAAAATAATTTGAGTAAATCTTCCAATTTTAAAAATTCACTTCATAAATTTAGCTTTCCTCTTCTTAGTCAAGGTTTTAGTGACTAAAGGGACTTTTCCCTTAATAGGGTCAAATTAGTCCCCCAAACACAACGAAATTAAAATTGTTACCTTACTTTGAGTATACAAGTAGTTATGGTGAGTCATTTATTTATGTTAGCAATCTGAAAATGAATGTGGGGTTTCAGAGAATCAAGGAATATTCAGCTTTGAAAAAAATTTTTATTTATTTTTATTTTATGTGTATGCATGTATTGCCTGCATGTAGATAAGTGCACCTGTGTCGTGCAATGCCCGCAGAGGTCAGAAGAGGCTGTTGAACCTCCTGGGACTGGAGTGAAGGACAGTTGTTAGCTGCGATGTGGGTGCTGGGATTCGAACCTGGGTCTTCTGCAGGAATAACCAGTGTTCTTAACCTCTGAGCCCTCTCTCCAGGCCCCGAAATATTCAACTTTTATTTAATAATTCTGAAATTATTTGCAGATAAGAAAAGTTAAAAAGAAGCATATGAACTCTACTAGAATTAGAGGTTTTGGGTATCTTATCTCTTTATAGTCTTAATTGCTGAGCAAAGCACTTTCAGTCACATTTCTCTTTCATATTGAATTACAGTCACTTGACATTCCTTTTCTATCTTTGTTCTCATTATGGACAATTTCTCCTCCAAAGAACTTAAAGAGGCATGACAAGCTAGCCACCAAAAACCTAATAGAGAGCAGGGAAAAGAAAACTTCCAAGTTGGCTTGCTTGACAGAATGTGAACGGACAATAAAGACAACGGCCGTTCTTATACTGCCCTTTGTAATTTTCTTTTTCTCCTGCAAGATTCAGACACTGTAAATTTTTTACTCTGAGTGGGTTAATCAATATAGTCATATTCTCTCTAACATCATTACACAATATATCGATCCAAAAAAAACAGTAGCAACAGCAGCAGACTAAATTGGCCAAATATAAATAATTTCGTTCCTTAATGTTCCCCATGGCAGTTTTATTTTAATACACAGTTATATGTATATTTTTGCCATGGTCAACTAATTATTTCATCTCAACTATGACATGGATCTCTTGGAAAGAAAACAGCTTCTTTATTTCCTATAGCCTATTCTACACTGTGAATTCTCATAAAGTATTTATTGCCTATTGAGGGTTTTATGAGGAGACCCAAGTTCAGACAGATGTTCCTGATGTTCCTGACCTGGGTCTCCTGCTAGGAAAAAGGAGTCTCTGGAGGGCAGTAAATCACTTATCCTTATGACATGACTTCAGCTGTCTAGTAGAATACTTATATCAGGAATTTATTAAATGATGACTTGCATCCTAAAAGAAATAACATCACATGAATGAATGTTTTAACCTGAGTTTACTCATCACAAAATAAATGGCACTGATGATAAAAGTCTGTCTGACATATACGAGAGAATTAGATATAAATGCTCTAATTTTTAATCTTATATTTTGCTAGAGGATCTTACTGAGTGTTATAATACAGTATACTTAATTTTAATTCCAAATAACTCAGAGCAGTATTTAATATATGGTCCAAAAATAAAGCCATTAAAAACAAACCTTCTTACTTAGTTCTGTGTGGTACTACCCAGCAATCACAGAGAGGAGAGAAACAAGTTTGAAAACTGTACCTACTAAGAATCAACAAGCTAAGATATAACCAAATACAATATAGACAGGCAAAGGGTAAGTATACAAAAGGGCTTAATAAGCTTTATATGCGATAAAACTTAAACTGTATGCCAAAATAGCTGTTTTGCTTTGAATGGGAAATGTTCCCGCAGGCTCATGTGCTTGGAACATTCAGTACTACCAGTTGGTAGGACTGTTTGAAAAGGGGGGTACAACCTCTGTGGAGGAAGGGGGTCACTGGATAGGCAGTAAGGCTTTACAGCCCCACCTCATCCTCGCTCTGCTTCCTGAGTGTGCAGGCCTCCTCCTCCTGTCATCACAGTTGTCTGCCTACTGCTGTCTTCCTACCATGATGACTATAACCTTCTGGAATTCTAAGACAAAATAAACTCTTTTTCCCATGGGGTATTTTATCACAAGAAGAGAGCAACTGAGACAATAGCTGGTAAAGTTCTTGACTCTAGAAGGCATCCAAGAATGTTGCCTGAATAAATGAACATGAACTACATAGAACAGATCTAGAGCTCTGGGCTAAAAACTCACATATCCCCATGGAATCAGGTGACTTAACACCTACTAAAGGAAAAATGGCACTGTCACTGCTAAAGTGGACCTAATGTTTTTTGAACAGAATATTGTGATTAACCTTTAAAGCACAGACAAGGAGGGAAGCGAATACTAACGATTTTAGAGATGGCATTATAAAAGCAAAAGAAAATTAATATAGAATTAATTTTAACAAGTAATGACATGCATGGGCAGTACTTAAAGTGGCAAGTCACAAATCTGTATCTAGAAGAGAACTGTAATAACTGATTAAAAGTTTCAAGTCCTCTTTATTCCAAATTTAACCCATTTCTCTGCTATTCTAAGTGATAAAAATCCCTAATAAGCTCTTTAAAACCTACTTAGTTCTAACTTGTGAAGATAAAGATTTTTAGGCAAAGTGGCCTCAAGCTTCTTCCCAAAGACTTGTCCAAAAGGAGCTCATCATGGTTGGTCTCTAGTTGTGCTTCTTAAAAATGTGCTTCTTGGGGGCTGGAGAGATGGCTCAGTGGTTAAGAACATTGACTGTTCTTGCAGAAGACCTAGGTTCAAATCCCAACACCCACATGGCAGCTAACAACTGTCTGTAATTCCAGTTCCAGGGGATCCGAAAGCCTCTTCTGTCCTCTGCAGGCATTGCACCACATGGGTGCACTTATCTACATGCAGGCAATACACACATACACATAAAATAAAAATAATAAATAAAATATTTTTAAAAAAATGTGCTTCTTAAAAATTATTATAAATAAGCCTTCCTCACAGTGATGAGTATAAACAGACTATATTTATTCATAGATTGTTCATTAATAATCAAGCCATGCATATTTATTGTTTATTCTGAGAAGGCTGCCTACAAGTCATAATGACTGTCAATTCAGTCACGTCAAAGAGGCCAACAGCAATCAGTAGACAAAACTCCGGTATGCCCCTACCCCAAACTTTTTAAACTCTTTTCTAAATGTGAACAGTGACTATTAAAGGAATGCTAGCAAAATTTATGGTTTTACTGGTTATTTCAGTAAAATATGGATACTTTAAATAGACTGCTCCACAGCAACTAACCTGGGTGGATTGCAAAAGGAAGAGGGATTGCCGGTGCCACAGCAGACCGGAGCACCAACGTTACAAAACAAGACTAAAATGAAAAAATAATCAGCTCTGCCGAGATTTGTCCTCACAACTGGTATTTTTTCCCATGACCTAAATAAGCTATGCAAAGTCTTTTGTTCACTATAACCTTTACTCTACTTTATTCCACTCACTGTCTTCTGATCATACAAGCTCTGTGCCAAGAACCAGACTTCAGTTTCTCGTGACCAATGCTTTCTTTATTGTCGACAATCATTAGCTGCCACCCTGCCATTTTTAATAACAAATATGTAAAGAACATGTTTACAGGTTTATCTTTATAGCTTTATCTACTCTGTAGAAGGAACTACAATATATATCTCAAACAGTGTTTTACATGGTCAGCAATACCTACTATCTTGCCTTATACATAAAGGGTAAAAACAATAAGTTCCTAATTTAAAATGTTTTAAATTACATTTATTTATTCATAATGTCTGTATGAATGTGGGTGGGCATGTGTACACCTCATGAGTGGAGGTCAGATGACAACTTGTGGGAGTCACTTCTCCCCTTCCACCATGTAGGTCTTGAGGCAGATTGTCAATCTTGGCAGCAAGTGCCCTTATCCACTAAACCATCTTGCCAGCCCCTAAATTTTTAACTTAGAAAAAGTAAAATTGGTCAAAAAGAAAACAAGCTATAAAAAAGGAATGGAGGGAACTGTTTAAGATTTATGTGTTGCTTTCTTCTCATATGATACTGTCTAAGGTGGGCGTAACTGACAAGATGCAAGGATGATGACAGGGCACTAAGGACACAGCAGGGTCTTGTATCCCTGGCTGGCCTTAAACACAACTTTGTAGCTGAGGATGACCTTGAACTGATTCTTGTGCCTTCACCTTCTGAGAGCTGGGATTACAGGCATGTGCCACCACACTGTTTTATGCAATGGTGGAGATTTAACTCAGGGTTTCATGCATACTAACAATCTACCAAATGAAATACATCCCCAGCCTGATTTGTTAATTCCTAAGTGTTAGCAAATAACTGTAATCATAACCAAAATTTCTTAAATATAAGGTGAAATAAACTTGCCAAATTCTAGTTACCAAAACAATAAATAATAAAGAAAAAACAATTTCTACAGTAGAAATCACTGGGGAAAGAACTAGATCAATTAAAATGCCCTAAAAGTCTTTATGATGTAAACTAATGTTTAATGACACCACTTGATGTGTCTCATACTCAGTTTGCCTTGCTTTTATGATCAGTAGTATATGCTATCAACACTCAATTGTTAGCCTATATTAACAGTGTGGGCTATGCCCTTTATGACAGAGAGGAAAGCAATAACCTTCTATGGTGTATTCACTGGAAATGTCTAGCAGTGACCCCATTCACCTGAATCTCTTTCTGCCAGGAAAGAAGGAAATCACAACTTACAAAAGACTGGACCTTCATAGATAAGAGAGAGGCTCAAGAAACCTCACCCTTCTCTGAGGAGCTATATAGACAGTGGTTGTTGTGGGAGGAGGAGTCATATTCTTTAGTGATTATAGCCACTGGTAAATTGTGCTTGTTCAAGTAAACAAGCCCCTACCCATGCTAATGCCATAACTGAAGTGGGATGTACATATAACACACACCACCGCCAACAACAGCAAATATATGAAACTAGGTGGGTGACTTGTGGGGGACAAGGGATTGGGAAGAACTGGAGAGAGTAAGCAAGGACAATGGGGGGTAAATATGATCGAAGTACGTATCTATATATATGTAGAAAGGAAGGAATGAAGAAGAGAGGGAGGGAAATTAAGTACATCTGTGGTTTCAATATGTGCTGTGCCATTCATTGCTTAGGCTTATTTATATTTATTTATTTATTTATTTATTTTTATTTATAGTGTATAATCTAACCACGCTAGTATTTTGAACATATTTTTTTCTGGTTCAAGTATCATGACTTGATTCAAATGTAACAATATCACATACTTCTTTCTGGAAGCGCATCTTTAAGTTAACAATTTCAGTCAATAGAAAGCAAGGCATATTCATAACCCACTAAGTAAGAATGTATCCATTGAGGATATGTATAGGGATAGTTGAAGTTCATTTTCAGTCTGTAAAAACAGGACAAAATTGTATTCATTAAGTTAAAATAAGAGATAACTTCTTTAAAGTTTCCACTCCATATTTAACTTCATGAAAATGATAGGATCCCATGCAGTACACAATGAGAGCACAATCATCAAGGTTAAGAGAAAAACACCTGTTTGTATCATAAGACAAATTACCTTGGTATTACTAAATGAAGATGCACTTAATGCAAGCTTTCCAGTGTTTAACAGGTGACATTTAATAGTAAGAAAACTAAATGCTTAAATAGAAAGGAGCAGAAACACCTGGGCAGGTCTATAAGCCTGGTCGTCTATTTAGCATGCAATTGCATTTCCAACATAATTAGCTTAAATGAGCTTCTAAATTTGGGTGATGTATTGCACATATAATTAAGATTTAATTAAAAATGTTCTATAATAAATTGTTTTCCATTTCTGACAAATCACATTAGAGAGGTAGATTTTGATTTGGAAATAGTTTTTAAAATGTGTTAATCATCTGTGCTGAAAATAAAGTAAAAAAGCAGTTCTGTTGACAGTCACAGAGGTAAAACAATAAGAGGTAAAAGGTATAGTTAGCTCTCATCATTATGAAGTTTTGCTGAAGAAGATGGTAACATTCATTTTTTTATAAACAGCATCATTCTAAACACAAGCTATTTATTTTTATAAGATATACAAAATATAGTTTAAACTTTTATTGTGAAAATTCTTAAAACTTCAATACGGCTTTGTACTAACCTGCTAAATCCCAAAACTGAGATGAAGCCCCTGTTCCCAGTCCAAGACAAATTAAGCCATTGGACGAGAGCACATCGAGCCTGTAGAAACTCGAGTGAAGCATCATTTAGTTTTGCCCAGTACGGTTGCAGATTGAGGTGAATGTACTGCAGAGGGTCACAACAATGCTGGTTTAGGAGTTTGCAAGTCTGTGCTAATCTGCACAGATCTGGTAGTGAAAGATGATTCAGAATCAGTTGAATGAGCTATATAAGATGGAAAAATACCAAGATTATCAAGCATGAAAGATAAATCATTTTGTTAAACATAGAATGTAGTCTAATAAAGGGCAAAGTCACATTTTCAAACTATTTTCATGAAATCAACATTCACCAAAATTATCCGTATGGGAAGAAACTACACATATATAAGGCAGTACTTCACTTCAACAGTGTTCAAATTCCCAGCTCATGTTCACAACTCAATTTCATAGGGTACCAGATATTTTGGTAATCCGCTGAATAATACAAAATTTCAAAGACATTTTCTACATGCCAGACACTGCTGATACAAAAGAAAAGAGTTCCCACTCTCAGAGTCCTGGGGGAATTAAGCCAAGTGAGATGTTTCAATACTACTGACAGAGATAAACACAAAATGTTATTGGAGTCTACCAGGGCAGGACTCAAGAGTGAAGGTGAACATGTGCCAGGAAAACTCTGCTTAGAAGTTAAAGGGAAAATGAGGTGAAAGGAGTCTTGTGGTAAGGATGGGAGCATCACCGAGGAGCCTGGATTTATCCTGAACAGAATAGAGGACTGAAATGATTCCAACCACACTGACATAGTCACATTGGTGTTTTAGAAAGATCAGCACAGAGAGTGTACCAGGAGGCAGGGAGGGAGCATCCAGGAACTAATATAAGTCCAAGAAAAGGTGGAAAAGGGAGTGGGGCAGAGTGGAAGGCAGCAGGAGACACAGTGGGGCAGCACACACTATTAACAAGACAGAACCGAAGAGGTATCTTTACCTGCAACTGTCTCCTTGAACTAGACCAAGATTTATTTTTCTTGTAATGGTGAAGACTTTAGTTGGAGACATCTAAACTAGTATTCAAAGAACAATTTAAGTGTTCTAAACTTGACCAAGAATCATAATAATAAAAAAAGAAAATCAGTATTTCCTGAATGTTTAAAAAAAAACTTATTTAGATGGAAGAGTTAAGGTTTTTATTTAATATAGGGTATTATTTACCTGAAGTTTCTGTTTTGAAATCCTTTAACATGAATCATTTTTAATTTATCACCTAAATTCAGTGTTAACTCTCGATCTGAATTTCGGTTTTGAGCTAAGTATATATATATTTTTGTCTTTTTGAGACAGGGTATCCCTGTAGCCCTAGCTGTCCTGGAACTCACTATGTAGACCCAGATGGCCTCGAACTCACAAAGATCCACTTGCCTCTGCCTCCCAAGTGCTGGAATTAAAGGCATGCACCACCACGCCCGGCAGTATTTTTAAAATATTTTATTTATTATTTTTATTTTATGAGTGTAATGCCTGCATGTAGGTATGTGCACCCATGTTATGCAATGTCCACGGTGGTCAGGGGAGGGCATCAGATCCTCTGGAGCTGGAGTTACAGATGGTTGTTAGCCACCATGTGGGTTTTGGGAATTAAACCTGGGTCTTCTGCAAGAGCAATCAGTGCTCTTAACTGCTGAGCTATCTTTCTATCCCCTGAGCCAACTATTACAACAAGCAGATAAACAACAATATAATCTTTAAAATACATTTAAAGATTGTTTATAGAACATGAGCAGTGGCTGATTAACAAAGTACATAGAATAAGGATTGGGGTAGCCTTGCTATTTATTTTTAGGGATGTTTGGGATCTGTGGGATGTTGGGATGTTTGTGTGTCTGTGTAGGAGCTTATTATAAAAACAGGGAAACATAAAGAAATCATTGGTCTAAAAGGTGACAAAGATTCTCTGACCAAAATTTAGTCAGGCTTCTAGAACTTCTCCTAGGCCCATCTATATGTTGCCTTATAAAATCCAGTTTTACCAAAACAATCAAAACCCTACTACGTTAGGTTACTAAGAACCCTACTCATTCTCCATGATGCCATAGGTAAGGGTAGATCCTGGTCTCTAGCAAGAATTTGTTATTTCAGGTTAGCATAAATCCCCTACTTCTGATGGTACATCTTAGCAATTTTTGATCCCAGATCCTCAACCTGCTCACTGGCAGTAAGTGCCTGTGATTTACTCAATAGAGTTCAATCTCACTCCCCCACTGCAAAGTACCACTGAAGAGTCCCTATCCCTATAACTGAATAACAAATATCATCATCTAGACCACCCTGTTGACATATAAAATATTACATGAATAAAAAATTCAGGTAAAAAAATAGAAAAAGAACACAGAAGGCAGAAAATGTTTCTTCTTCTCTACCTTCAATTCTAACACCTCTCCCTAGAGATAAGTACTGTTAACAGTTGGTTTTTCTGTTTTGTTTTTTTCTATCTCTTCCAAAAAATGTATATAACATATGTAACTTCTATTCTTGGGTATATAATATTCACTGTCCAGCACCTTGCTTTTCTCATTTAATGACATATCCTGTACATCTTTCTCTATATGCACAAACAAACCCACCTCATTCCATTTCAGAAATGTGGCATAATAACTAGTTGCCTATTCATTTGCTTTTTTCTTATTGCAAACAATCTTGCAATATATCGTGTGTATGTATTATGTATGTATGTTCACCTTGACAAACTGCAAATATATCTTTAGAGGAAATCACAGTTACATGAATTTGAAAGTTTTGATATAAGCACAAAATTGCCTTTTTGATGTTCACACCAATTTATATTTTCATAGCGTGAACAAGTATCCATCCACCTATGTACAACGCAGTACCAGTATTTAAACGTCAGCACTCTAGGAGGGAGAAAACACTGGGGTGCCATGACTCCTCCTCGACCCCTCCTCACTTCCCAGCTCCTTGTCATCAACCTCACTTTTATTTTTGCTGCTGTTGTTCATTACAGAAATTTAACCTCAAAGGAGTTGTCAATTTTTCTTCTTTCCTCTTGGTCTATTTAAGGACTAGATTCCATTGCATTTATCTATCCATTCTTTTGCATTTCAATAATCTGCTAGGTGAAATAAGTTTTCTCCTACAGTTTTAAGTACATATATAACAATGTATTGGATTGTTCTGTTGCAAGTGAGAATCATGACTAATGACCCTCTATTCTTTTCCAAAATTTTCCTGATTATTTTCATTTTTCTTAGGTGAATTTTTCAAATGAAAACATCTGCTTATATTTCCATTTGGGCTTCATTAAATATATTATTATTTGAAGGAAAACTGGCACTTGGTGTATGTGTTCATACACATGCTTGACACGCTTCCTCATGCTTCAGCTTTCATGCATATCTTTGTCCTAATCTCCTCCCTGATTATCTCTCCCTACGGGATTCTCTGAAGTGAGTAGTTCCTAAATTTTGTTCTTGGCCCTTTATTCACACCCTGCAGGGTTTCACCGGCCACCTTCATCTACTAGGCTGTCCCTCCCCTATTCAGGGGAGAATCACTCATGTAAACTCAGACCTTCCTGCCAAGTTTGAACTCAAATAGAAACTGCCCACTGCCCTCAACCAGACGTCTGCTCTAATGAACCACATGTATGTCAAAATATGTCAAACACAGTGGCTCCTTCCACCTTCACCTACTGTTCTATAATTAATGGTGTGTCATGCAGGCAAAACATTCATACACATAAAATAAAAATAAATTTTAAAAATTTGTGAGAGTACAGCACAAAATTATTTTTGCAGCCTTGTAAAATGTTATTCTATTCCAAATTATTACTTAGTATTTTATAGTTGCTCTTGATAAGAGATTGTGACAAAATAAAAACAGTAGACAAAATTCTTATCTTTTAAGAATGTGATATTTTATCATAAAACAAATTAAAATAATTTTTAAAAAATATTTTCATTTTACATGTATGAGCGTTTTGCCTGCATGTATGTAAGTGCATCCATGTGGTGCAATGCCCAAAGAGGCCAGAAGAGGATGTCAGATCCCCTGGAACTGGAGTTACAGAAAATTGTTGGCTACCATGTGCATGCTGGGAATCGAACCCAGATCCTCTGAAGAACAGGAAGCGTTCTTAACCACTGGGCCATCTCCCTCATCCCAAATTAAAATAATTTTAACAAAATTTATAAAAATTATATAAATTTATAAATATATCACATGAAATTTGTACGAATGTAAGTAGATGAAGATCAGATTTTAATTTACCAATTTTTGTTTTTAAATCAAGTTTCAATTTAAAGTTTACTTTGTGTCAAATAAATTAAATCAACATAAAATATTAAATACATACTGGGTTATTTTGATAGTATATATTAAGTATACTACATATAAGTTGTGTGTATATATGTTTATGTATGTGTGTGAGTCACTGTGCTTAATCAAACACATTCCATGTTCTTTGAAACAACTGAATGCAAGAGTTTATATAGAAAGAAGTTTTGTTTTCCTTAGTTTGGCTAATACCCATCCTACAATTGAAAAAGCATTTTAACTTAAACATTAATATGCATAGCCATAAATGCCTATGGAAATAGAAAATATATTTTAACACATACAAACTGAAGTATAAATCATGTCCTTTAGCAATATCATCCATTATAATGTAATTTTCTAAGAAATAGTCAACATACTTCACAATATAATGAAATATCTTTACTATCGTTTATGTAACCATGACAAAGAGAATTAAACAAATTAGCTGAATTCAAAACCAAAGCAAAACCAAAAATTATTAGCATGTCTGCCTTGTGAGCCATTCCATTCTAAAACCTACATGTATGTCCCTGTCCTGCTCTGTCTCCATATTTGTTACTTAAAAAAAAAAAAAAAGATTTGTTTTTATGTGTAGAGTGTTTTGCCTGTATGTATGTTCAAGTATCATGTGTGCCCCCTAATACTCCTGGAGACCAGAAGAAGGCATCAGATCCCCCGGATCTGGAGTTACCGATGATTGGGAGCTGGCACGCGAGTGCTGGGAACCAAACCTGGATCCTCTGCAAAAGTAGCCAGTGCTTTTTTCTGATGAGCCGTCTCTCTAGCACCTTACTAGTTACTTTTGAACTACCTTCTCAATCTCTGGAACACTTCTCCTATCTCATCTTCTCTCCACACATCCCAATTTCCAGGGCTTCATCAGTCTTGCCTGAATTATTACAGTAACTTCAAAACTAGTTTTTCTGCCTCCCATTCCAAGTTCCCGTTAGTCTATTCTTCATTACAACAGTGACCAAATATAGAAATCTCATTTTATTATGTTTCTTCTTAAAATAAATAAAATCTTTAACAAGTTCCCAATCTTTTTTATTCATGAAACCTATAAAAAACATATGAGACAAAACCTTCTGAGCAGTTACTCTAATTGTTGAATAAAGCATGTATAAATGCCTGAATATTATGAACAATTTCTGGAATATTAGCTATTATTCTATAATTATCTTTCCCATTCAAATATGCAAAAACACAAGAAAGTATTAAATTATAATCATGTATCTGTTCTACATGTTTAGTAAAATGAAATTATTTACAAAGTATAAAGTATCTATTTACAAAGTATAAAGTATCTGTGACCCCCATCCCAACTAATTTTGCCATATATTAGAGAGACACAGCACCCTGAAGGGCACCGAGTGAAGTGGATAAAATGTTAACCTCACAGGAAAACCTAGAGTGCCCTCTTTGGTACAACAGAGTAGACTACCTTCTGGTGGCCCAGTGATTGTTGCTCTGTGAAGGCAGCTGTGCACTGATGCAGCCCTAAGCCGACCCAATTCCGTTTCTGGCAGCATCCCTCGTCAAATGTGGTGTTTCAGTATGACTGAACACCCGCACTTCCAGCAGGTCGCAGCTGCACGTCTCACCATTACGTGTTCTCTTCCTCTGCCTCAGTTATTCCCTGAACACTTTCTGTCAGGCATTTTATCAGGCTTAGATAAAATTCACTAAACCATTTAAAACACATTAAACTTAAATTCCTATCTTACAGTTTTGGAAGTGAATAAAAATCAGAAGTGATTTAGTTTCCAGGAGGTGAACTGTTCCCATTGCTGTCAAGACAAATCTCAGAGCCCCTTTCTCCTAACTCAGCCTCCCACCTATTCTCCCTCTTCCCATTAGGGTCAGATGATCTTGCCCAATCTGTGAAGTTCCTGTCCATAACATTAACAAGGCTTGGGTAAAACCCCAGCCCCCTGCTTACTGACTAAATATATCTATATATTTGTCTATATCTATCAACTTAAGCTGCTTCACAGACATACCACAGCATCTTAACTCTAACACTGAGCATTCCCAAGACTGCCTAATCACTCCATGTAAGTCAAGCTACTTACATCATTGTAGTGAAATCCAAAATACTCATCAATCTTGTATCTGGCATGATATCTAAGTTGGCTGAAATTTGGGTGTATAAATTTTTCATTAAAAAACTGATTATATTATTTTTAGCTGTACATAGTAGTTTTCAAGGGAGATATATATGCCTGGCCTACCTAACCCAGGATATTAGGAAGAGGTGGGAAGAAATTTTGGTATTCCATAGCTACAGAATGCCATTGGCATTTAATACTTCAGCTAGGGAGGCTAAATATACTATAGATATATTTCCTTAGAATCATACTGAAAACAAGACTTCAAACTAGATAGTAAAAGGTATTCCTAGTGAAATAAAAAGTCATTCTGGACCAGCCTAGATAAAAAACTATAGTTAGGAGACTAGAGATCACAGTTGGTAAAAAACAGAGACCCTTAGAAAGACTAAGGCTATTAAAGAGAATAAGCATTCACCTCATAATCTTATGATTTCATTTATTTCCAATAGTAAACAACCATTAACATAATTAGTATAAAGTTAAGCACACACTGCCCATACTGGAGTTATGAAAAGTAAAGTAAAATTTATTGTTAGTTTATGTATTTGGTTATTATTAAATAATGCAATAACAACATATTTAATAGTTTATCAAGAATCACTAAAGTCATCCAAAAAAGCAGTGAAATTGTTCAAAATAAGTTTGTCTAGCTTTTCCAAATCGAAATATGTAATACATCAGATTATACCAACCATATCAATGCTTATACTCCTCTAACATCTAGTAAAATAAATGTTAGTAGCTAAACATTAAAAATCTGTAGTGTTATGTCCAATAATGACTGAGTATTTTTTACTTACCTCGTATGGTAGCTTATCAAAATACCCATTATTTGGCCCTTCCCCAAGGGCAGCACTGCTAAACTTTTTATCAAGGCTGTCCATTCCACAGCCATCCTTTTCTTCATAGTCATCATCTTCTAGATCATTCATGTCAATAAGTGAAGTCTTGAGAGAGAGCAATGGCTTATCCTTCATACCATGTAGCACAACTGCATCTAATTCAGTGTAATAATCCAGAAGAGAACTATTTACTTCCAGTCGTATAAGATTTGTGGGAAAATTTATCTGCTTAATACAAGGTTTAAACTGGCGAGCCTGGGAAGCATTCACCTTCGTAGGTTTCTCTGACCAGAGAATCTCCCATCTGCCAAAGAAAGAAATTTCCCTATAATACAGTTTAGAATGATGTTCACCAGTACCCAAGGGTATGAGATCTACCAGTACCTAGGGATATAAGAACTACCAGTACCCTAGGGTATGGGATCTACAAGTACCTAGAGGTGTAAGATCTACCAGTATCCTAGAGTATGAGATCTACCAGTACCCCAATACCTAAGGGTATGCCCCACCACCACCCCCCAACACAGCACAGTGAGAAATAAAGGGGTCCAATAAGGTAACAGAATCAAACACATGAATCATGTCCAGAATATGATCTTAAAAAAACTGTCACAGATATTTTTCCTTAAAACATTTTGCAAATCCCCAAAAGTTCTTTTTATTTTTTTCCAAGATTTCACATTGGCTAAAGACTAGAATCCATAGTCAGAGGTATCTGAAAAATCAAATTCAGTCTTACGGAATAAATAAACGCTGAGAAAGAAGAATAAGCACATAAAATAAAGCTTCACTGTGTGCACATCCTAAACCAGCTGCCGAAGCTATGGCGATCATCTTGTCTCACAAAGGTTTCCCCCCAGCTCTTCCGTTTGTGACTGGCCTCATACAAATGCAAATTTTCATGCTATCTGTATGTGTGTGTGTACCTGTGTGCAGATGCACAAGCATGTATGTGTATGTGGGGGCCAGAGGACAGCCTTATGTGGCCTTCCTCTAGTACCACCCACCTTGCTGGCTTTTTTTTTTTTTTTTTGGTTATGCTTTGTTTTTTAACTGGGTCTCTTACTGGCCTGGAGTTTGCCAAGTAGGCTAGGCTAGCTAGCCAGTAAACCACAGGGATCTCTGTTTCCAACTCCCCGAGTACTGGGATTGTAAGTGCATACCACCACATCCAGCTCTTTTCATAAGGGTTCCAGTGAATCAAACTTCATGCTCAAGGCTATCTCCGCAGCCTTCAATGCTATGTTTTCCCATTTTTAAATGCAGTCATTACATTTGGTTCAGAGTTTCAGCAAACTGGCTTATATATGTCCTTATCCTGAATTTCCATGTTCTGTCTTCTTTTAGTTATACCTGTATCCCTTTACTTAACTAGGATCTAACAAATAACAACCAGATAACACTCTCCCTTGTCCTTGCAAATGAACTCCCACTTTCTAGCCAAATTATTATTACTCTTTTCACAGTACATTTATAACTATATTCATGTTTTTAGTCATGTCGTCTTCTCTGGTGAAATGCCCAAAGTGCTAAGATTACTATCCCATGTCCATAGTCTTCTTATAAAACTGTTCCTCAAAATTATTTAACGATTCTTCATAACACAGTGTTACATTTTCACATAGGTCATAATTAACTACTCTAATACTGTTATCTAACATAGCAGAGAAAATAAAAGACCTCTAATCATTTCCAATTTAATTAAAAGAATATTTTTAAGTCTCACCACATACTATTATATAAACTGCGTTAGAAGAGTTTATGGCAGGTAGTATATAAGAATGGCACTGAGGGGCTAGAGAGAGAGCTCAGTGGTTAAGAGCACTGACTGCTCTTGCAGAACTTCTGGGGTCAGTTCCCAGCACCAGCACTGTGATTAACATCCATCTGTAACTCCAGTTCCAGGGATCTGATGCCCGCTTCTGACCTCAATGTTCATCACACACATGGGTGCACTTACACATAGGCAGGCAAAAGCACTCATACAAATACAATAAAAATAAGTAATTTTTTGATTAAAACAAGAATGGTCACTGAAAGCATTATATATTGTTTATAGTAAACCCCTAATTTCATAGTGAGTCATAGCTCCTTATGACGCCATTTACAATTCACTAAATATAATAATTTGTTTTAATTTTTAAAAAATTTAAAAATTTTTTATTTTTTAAATTTTTTGTGTATGAGTGTTACGCTTGCATGTATATAAGTGCACCCATTCATGCAATGCCCACAGAGGTCAGAAGAGGGCATCAGATTCCCTGCAACTGAAGTTACCAACAGTTGTTAGCCACCATGTGGGTGCTGGTATTTGAACCTGGGTCTTTTACAAGAACAGTCAATGCACTTCACCACTGGGCCATCTTTCCAGCCCCAATACTTAAAATTTTAATAAATACATTATAGAATAATATTGTTGGTATTATATAAACTGTTAATTTATTTCCTTGATAGAATAACTTTCCAAGATATAAGTAAAAATTAACTGCATATAGAAAGTGAAAATTTTAAAAAGAAATTGAAATAGACAAAAGAATATGAAATTCAAGGGAGAAATCTAAACCATGGAAGCTGCTGACATTTAAGCATCCTGATGGTCTTCAGTTAAGTCAAAATGGGACTAAGGAGAACATAATAGCCTCAGTCCTGGAAGAACAGAGAAGAAAAGTATGGTAATTTTTACCTTTAGGAATCAAAGCATAAGTTCAATGAGAAGTTTTCTTTTTGAAAAAAAAATTTTTGATTAATACATACTTATAGGTAAGATGTGGTATTTCAGAATGTATATAGTATGTACTGATCAAACCTAAGCTCCCTGCTTCACCTCCCTGTCCCACTGTTCTCAATCTCTAGCAGTCACTATTCTACTTTTAGGCTGACTTTATTTTGGCTTCTGCATCTGAGAAAGAACACATGGTACGGGTGCTTTTTCTGTGTCAGGATTATTCCACTTAACACAATGCTTTTCATTTCTTCTCATTTTGCTACAAAAATTCAATCTTCTATATTGTTGAATAATACTCCAGTTAGTATACATATCACATTTTCTTTCTTTCTTTTCTTCATTTTTTTTTTTTCCTGAGACAGGATCTTACTATGTAGCCCTGGCTGGCCTGAAACTCACTATGCAGACCAGATGAAACTCAAGAGATCCATATGCCTCTGCCTCCTGAGTGCTGGAATTAAAGGCATACACCACCACACCTGGCTATAACACATTTTCTTTATCCACACATCTGCTGATGGGCACTTAGCCTGATTCCGTATCTTAGCTACTGTGAATAGTGCTGCTGTAAACATGTACGTAAGTGCAAGTGTCTTTGATAAGACAGCTTCGTATCTTTTGGGTATACACTTGTAAGTAAGATACTCAATGGGAACACCAGTAACCATCACCAAAGGGACATGAACCACAAAATGAGGAGCTACGACAGGACTCTTAGAGTTTCTAAAACCTTTGATCATCCCTTATTGGTTAGTTTTTGAAGATTCTCTCCTGAAAATTAAAAGTAAAACCCATCAGTTAAAGAGTTTATATTTGCATGTAGAGACAGCATTCCAGCCAACTCCAACTGGAAGCTAACCAACTGCCACTCTGTGTGAAAGCCTGGCCAATTCTGATTTACATGATAAAATCCTGTTTCTTGGCCTACAAGGTCAAAGGGACCAGGCGATGGCAAATTTGTGAAATTGCTGCTTTAGCAACTCCCTTAGCAGCAAATTCTCCTGTGACAGCCCCTCTTGCCCTGCTTTCCTAACTGCTTACTATTGTAAAAATGTTTTAAGCACTCAAAAACAAACCCAAACCACTAACATAATCCCAGTTTCTTTAGTATGACATCAATTTATCATTCTCCCACACTCCCTCCCTGTCTTCTAAACTGTAACCCTGAAATAGCCTATTTCCTAACTCTTAGGCCTGGGTCCATCAGAATCCAGCTCCTAGTAACAGGTCATTCCATGCTACCATTTTTTTTCCCAACTAGGCAAAAAGCCCAAAAAAGACTAAAACTGAGTAGAACCACCTATAATTATTTCATTTCATGGGCTAAACAACAACAAAAAGACATATAATAGGAAAAGACAGCTTTTTTTTTTTTTTTTTTCGTCTTTTTGAGACAGGGTCTCCCTGTAGCCCCAGCTGTCCTGGAACTCACTATGTAGACGAGGCTGGCCTTGAACTCACAGAGATCCGAATGCCTCTGACTCCCGAGTGCTGGGATTAAAGGTGTGCACCACCACACCTGGCTAAAACAGCTTTTTAAACTTTGAAGGTTTGGGATTATAAAAAGTCCATTACTTACACACAATTCCTGGGCTACTCCAACACACTAGTCCTAAACATCTACTCATAAAAGCTAACTCCTAAATATTATGAAATTATGTGCTCAATTAAAATGATAGGCATCAGTCCAGTGTATGAAGGAGCCCTCCTGACTAAATAAGGGGATGTGCAGTGCTATACACACACAAACTCAGTCTTGTAGAATTGCTAAATGCTCTTTAGTGAAGATTCTGAGCATGCTAGTTCTTGATATAACAGGTAGTAACAATCAACCCTTGTGCCCATGTTCAGGGCAGGCTTGCTTCTTTCCTTGGGGTGCAAACTTGTTCACAAAATTATCTTGGGCTCCTGAGCAAAATATGCCCAATGTTTTTCAGTTCCCTTCAGAGTCCTTCCAGCCCACTGCCAGAGATGGCCAAGTACAGCCAGGCTGGTGTGGAAGACTGCAACTTGCTGGGAAACTGCACTCCTGTCTGCCTTCTCAGCTAAGCTTTCCCTCTTCTTACTGGTATGTCTCAGGACACTTGCAATAGTAAATAACTGCAGAGATGTAGGAATCTTCCTTCAGCTTCTGAAAAGCTGGAGCTCAGACAGCTGTGACCCCACATTTCAGAAACCAGAAGTTCTTCATTTACCCTCTCCTCTCGGGTTTGCAGCTCCTAACGGCTTGTGTTTCTCTCACTTCTTCAAACACAGGGATCTCATCTTTGAATGCGCTTCCTTCTCCACCTTCCTTAACCATGATGGAGCCTCCCTCAACCCTGGGTGAATCCACTTTCCTGAGAAGCTTCTAGATTAGCCCTTCTCTGAGACTCACACATTAGATTCTCCCTTTGCCTGTACAAGTTTCCTAAAATGTCATGATCCTTTTCTAGGATGGCCTGTGAGCTCAGAGAACAAAAGCCACCTTTGTCTGACTCTGTTTTGTTCCCAGCAGTAAACTGTCAAAAAGGTGTTCAATCAATATTTCTCACTGCCTAAAGAAATTCACCATAATGTTAACAGTTACTGAATCTGGATAGAAGAAATAGAGATACTCCCCTCTGCCTTTTTTAAACAATGAAATATTTATTAAACTCATAATAAAAATGAAAAATGTCTTTTATTGAGCTAGGTAATGAGGCTTATGTCTATAACCTCAGCACCTGGGCAACAAGTGCTGGGCTTGGGCTATAACAAAACCTTGTCTCAAAAATCCCAAACCAAACCAAAACAAAATGACAAACTCTTTCTTCCTTACACTGCAGGAATACATACTAGTCAGATTCCTCCTCTTCAAATTTAGTGAAGTTTTTCTGAGGAATAAAGCTAAAAATCAGTAAAGCAAATCAGAAACATCTAGAAATAAAGTTTTAAAATTAATGTCAATCAAATCAGTTATGCAGCCATTATATTCTGAATTACAGAAAACTGCATGTTTCATAGATCTCAAATCTATGGATAACTTTGTATGAAAGAGACAAGGAATGGCAGAGTACTAACAAAATAATTCTCACATGAGATAAGATTCTGTCCCAATTCCTACTTCTTTTATCTTTGGGGCGGGAGTTCCAAAACACCTTTGTATATTAAAGGATGGTAGGATGATGGTGTCTGTGTTTTTGGTAACTCAATAACAGTGAACAAAATGAATCATCAGTCATTCTAAAAAGAACAAGTAAAGACTATTTCAGCTGTTTTCAGCTGGAGTTGAGCTGCCCTCCATCCTTGTTTTCTGGGAGGCTGTGGATATGTGCCCTTAGAGCAGAGATGCAAGCAAGCAGTGTGTCTGAGGTGCAGATCTCTGCCTCACTTTTCTATCATGGCAGTTGGGATCCCACAGTTAACATGTAGCATGTGACCAACACTGAAATGTTCAATGAGTGAATGACTTAAGACTGACATAAAGATCTAAACACTAAAAAGGTCAACAAAAAACAGAAAAATGGACGAATAAAGTGATTAGATAGTCCAAGGGAAAGGAAATATAAATGGTTCTTAAATATGGGAAAAGATATCCAACCTCAGAGACAAATAACTTTAACAAAGTTAACATAAAATAACGTTTTCCCTAATAAATAACAAAACAATGAAATTTGTTAGCACTGTAGTCTTCCGTTAAAATATGCACATATTTACAATGCTTATGGGAATATAAACAAGTACTAACCCTTTGAATGGAAATTTGGCTCTATGAATCAAAATCACAAATGTATGTATCCTTGCCCAAGCAATTCTTCTGGGAAGCTTATCCCACAGATATACTTACAGAGAGGTGGATATGATTTATCTCAAGTTTATTCTCTGCATTAGTGTTTGCAATGGTAAAAGACTAGAAAGAACTAAACGCCTACCACTTAAGGACTAATTAAACAGGGATCAGAGGATGCTTTGCTTGAAGCTATAGGAAAAAATGAAGCAAAGAAGTCTTCTGTTTCACTGCTACTGCTCAGGAGTGAAACAAACAAGATACAGAACAATGTGAGTAGTCATTATTTTTATGAATAAAGAAAATAAAAATATAAAATATATGTGATTTGCTTATATCTGCACAAGGAAACTGAAAAGATACAAAGAAAACTTTAAGAGGTGGTTTCTTTGGAAAAAAAGATAATGTAGGCACATTGAGACAGCCATATGTACATGGCTACATTATGTCCTGTTTAGACTATCAGCCTATGTGATTATGTCACCTAGTCAAGTACTTATGTTTTTAAAAATTGGGAGGGTGAACTACAAAAACCAGAGTCAGGGGAGCTGATCTTCAAGTTAATGATGTAAACCTTCTTCCAGGAAGAATACATAAATTCCTTAAAGTATAATACTTATTTTTAAATGACTATGCTCATTGTGAAAATATTCATCTAATATCAAAGCTAATCACCTAAGAGTTCCCTCTAAAGCATTACTCTATAGGACTATCTAAGTAGTTCTTAAAGAAATTAAAATCTAGCATGATGGTGATTTGAAAATAGTTTAGAAGTCGTAATTCCTACTGACTTCTCAGATTGTACCATGTCCCCATTACCTTAAATTACGCTCTTTCATTTATAGTAAACTCTTTGACAAGTAAATAACACAATCTATGAATATTATCACGTGAAGTGTTATAGGTGGAAAGCATATGTTAAATCTTTATGTGTGTGATCTTTCTTCCCCATCGGGAAATTAAGAAAATAAATCTCAAAATCAAAATTGTTTAAGTGATTTAAGAGAATGCTTCCAATAAGAAATTTTTTAAAAAGGCATTCAAAACTGAAGCAATGCAAACTTTGCAGCCATGTAGCAGGTCATCAAAACTAAGAAAATGAGTCTTACCTTACTTCAGTGGGAGGACTTGGGGAATAGGGATTTGCAGAACAAGCCAGAATTCTGATGACTGCTCCAGGATGATAAGTCTCCAGGACATGAACAGCTGTAGGATACACCTGTTGTTCAAAAGTAAGTTCCACATAGTCCTGGCTCTGAAAATTGGATGGTGTCCTTTTGAACGGCAAGGAAGCACTAGGACACTGATCCCACCATGTTCCATAAGTTCGAAACACAGCTGTCTGAGTAAAGTCACCAGAACTTGGAAACACGTTTGGTGCGCCTGCCAAGTTCCACATGGTATAGGACATGCTGTTCTCACTTCCATAATGGGAACTGAAATCTACTACTTCTTTGGCATACTGGACCACCTCTGCATTGAGAGGGGAAGTCCTGCTGTTTGATACTATAGTCCTATGGCTGTTCATCATTTCTCCTCTCGTAGCTGTCCTGGCTCGGCGCCGAAGGCACATATAATAAAACATAGTCAGAACTGTTAACATGGGAAAGACTGGTGACATCTAGTCGTGAATTATGAAGCTTCAAAAGGTCAGGTGTCCTCAGTGAGAAGCATGAACTCTGAAGGATGGTCTAAAAAAATGAATGGCTTGGTAAAGTAAAATAATTTAAATAAGCAGAAAAATTAATGGAAACAGCAACAAAGAGGTTTTATTACCAATGTCATTTTCCAGAATGGAACTTGGAAAAAACAAGTTTCCAACTACAAACATGAATCTCTGCTATAAATAATTTACCTAATATATTTGTAAGAAAAGAAATACTACAGATGTATCTAACTTTATCCTTAATTGATAATATACGGCAATGGAAAATAACGAACCCTGAAGCTCCATCTAACAAATAATTCCCTATTGAAAGGCACAACATGCACCTTTACCCAGAGTCAGTTTGCTCGGCCTACAATTCCCTCTTGTTAATTATTCTCTTCCAAAGATGCTAAGCACAGATTTCACATTATGGGAATATAGTTTTTTGAGCTGACAGTTAATGCAGACCATCTAAATTAACTGCCTTGCATATCACAGATCAGCTGACGGTATTTAATTTACACCCTTAGGATTATCTGTTAGGGAAGGTCTCGGTCGCCTGGAATCTGGTTTATTGCCATCTACTAGTGGAAATCACTCACCCCAGCTCAGGTGGTCACAGAACGTGCATGGGCAGTGCAGAAGCTGGCACTCATCCATGTGGGATCAAACGGGTACAGTGCTTTCAGGGACAAATGCTGAAAAGAGGCATCTTTACCTGGAAAGACCGGAGTTTTTTGGGTTTTTTAAACATTTTTATTTCTAAGTTAGAAATTCAAATTATCCCAAGATTATTTTTATAAACAGTCATTTACTCTATATACTACAACTTTCCAACCAGGCTTATATCTCTCAAAATTTTTGTGAACCCTATCTACTTGGAGATTACAAACCTGTAGTTTGGTTTCAAACTATTCATCAAGACATATTTTATGAGTTCAAGGGGTGTTTTTACATTTCTGGTCTAGTTTTTAACTTTTCACAGTCAAGAAGATTCCAAGAGGCCCGAGCTTTCAAAGAGGACATGCTTGTTTCCCGGTGGCTTACAGCACAGTCCTGTCCTGTCCTGACAGAGCAGCAGCCTCTTGTCAGTATGAACAAGGAAATCAAACTCGTAAAGTTCTGAGCCCAAACTCGTCTAGATAAAAGGAGAATACATGAGCTCTTTTTTAATGTAAAGTACAGCAATGTAGTAGCTTCCAAAACTTCAGCACTAAGATTACAAAGCATGGCCTGCATTAAATCTTTCATTAAAATACCCCCAATGGACTTTTCTGATCCACGATAGAAATTTCTTACTTTGGTGCCTTAAGGCTTTCCTCCAAGTTCAGTAAGTTCTCTTCTTTACTAACATAGAAAACCCAGCCAAGTTTTAACCACCCTTAATAGTCTACTTTATGTTTCAGTCCTCATTTTGTTTCCAACCATCTGATTTGACATTCAGCAAGCTTACTCTCTGGCACCAATGACACTACATTTGTCTCAGATGTCATTCCAGCACGGTCAATATTTAGGAATAAGTTTTTTGAAGTAGAAAATCTAGGCAAACGTATTCATGTCTTAATAGGTATCAGTGCATACTCAGTACATAATAGGTATAAAATATGACATGTTGATAGAAAGGTGATGTGAAAAGAAAACAAAGTATAAAAGTGTAAAATAACTTAAAAATAAACAATAGCATGTTTCTGTCTCTCATTGTCTGCCTGGTCCAAACACACTGAGATGCTGTATAAAACAGAAATAGAGAAATAAGAAGTAAAGGGTTAAACTTAAGCAAATGCAGGGAACGCACCGTAGTGAGAAACAAAGAGGAAACTCAAGAGCAGAGGAAAGAAGCTGAAGCTCAGTTGACGCGCAGACGCCTTTAGCAGGCAGAGGAGTGACAACAGAAGGTCTAACACCCATTTGAGTTAATTATCAATGCCTATAAACACAGGTCACATTTGGAAGGACTTTATGAAGCCCAAATCAGAAGGAATCACCCTGTTCATGGAACAAGGGCTAACAGCCTAGCTCACTGATCAGAGGAACACACAGGCACGGTACCAACTGAGTAAGGCATGTGCCATGCCCAGGGTCTAAATTCATACCATCTTCATAGTTTGGAATCCCACTCTACCCAAGTAAAAAAATTGATAAGGAAAAACTAGCTTCAAACTGGTAAACTTTAGGACCTGGTAGGCACAGATGCGAAACCTCTGTGCTAGGCTGTTTCCACCCAGAAAAAAGAAAAATAAAAATCCTCATGGAAGATGCATCTCTGCGAAAAGTAACAGGTCGCTATATAATGAATCACAAATAGGTCAGCTGGTAAACGCAGTAAAGAAAGGAATTTGCACCATAAGGACAAGGACTATTAGAACAATCAGAGTAAGACCTTTGGGGGAAAGACAATAAAGCACCTAAGAGAAACATAGCCTCGTGCTGCACAATGGCACAATGGTCAAGGCGGACAGAGGAACCATTGCTTCTCAATCCAAATTAAGCTCCTTCTTTATTTTTTTTAACTGCTAATCAGTAAATACTCAGTTTAATGAGACCTAAGAAACATTTGCAAAATAAGGTGTCGTCATTTATGTGAACCCTCACAATCATTCTTGGCAAAAAGAAGACCCAGACAAGCATGAAAGTCGAATTTGGGTTCATATAACAAGTACAAACTTCACAACTGCTTCTCAACTGGTTTTTACCACTGAACATTACAAGATAAAGTAAAAACCAACAAGATTATAATATGGACAATACTATTATTATTACTAAGCTGTGTTAAAGTTAAGTTTGCACTGAGGGAACATAAGTAAAAACTGAGTTATGAACTGTAAGTATATATGTTCACACTTCTTCAGACTAGAAATGTAAAATGGGATTTTGTTTCTCTAATTCTAGATAAAGACTCTTTAGTTAACTTTTGTAAAATAAAGCTGAAAAGGGCAAAAGAAATTTCTGAGAAAAACAAAAGCAGTGTGGCATGCTGAAAGATGAAGGGAAAATTCTTTACCTCTACATCAGTGCTACTCATGTTATTACAGAAGCCAAAACCAGATTTTTAAAAACATGGCACAGAAATAAGAGACTTAGGAATGTTCAGCCCTGTCACACCTCTTCCTCCAAGGCCCATGGATCATCACAGAAGAGGGGCAGAAGGATTTTCAGAGCCAGAGGTAGTAGATGTCTGCAGCAAAACAGCATTTGCCGGACATGATAGGGTTGGTGTACACATGAACTCACAGCAGCTGGGATTTTATGCATAAGACCTGCACCAGATCAAACCAGACAAAACCCCAGCATGGAGGGGGAGGGGCTCACAAAGTGCCACTCCTAGCTGCAGAGTTATTGGCAGCTGACAGATATTGAAGGAGCTTTCTTCAGGACCAGTAGATGGTCCTATACCCATAGGCAACACTAAATGGAATCAGTGGGTTTAAAGAGAGTAAGAATGAGAGAAAGCACATGAAGCTGGGAAGCAAAAGTGGAGGGGACAGGGAGGAACTGGAAGGGAGGGAATGGGGGGGTGCATCTGATCAAAACCACATTATATGCATGTAGGAAATTCCCAATTTTAGAATAAAAAATAGTTCTGGAAAAAAGTACGTAAGCCATTGCTAACATACTTTATTGACTCTGAATTCCTTTTCAATCTATAGGATGACACATAAAAATGTTCTGGGGGTAGGCAGGATGCATAGGGGAAAGAGCTAGCTCCCTCTCCTTCTCCCTGGGAGATGAAAGGAGAGGAATTGTCTCAGGACTCACGTGAGCAGCAGTGCTCAGTGCAGAAGTTCACAACTGCCCATGTATTGCCTGGACCGTTGTCCAGGCATAGGGGCAATCTGAGATGACCAATGAGTATACCAATCAGAAGCTCGAAGTTATGAGGATAATGGGATTCAGAGACAAAATGACTTTTCTCTCTAATGTGGTGCAAATATATAACTATTAGTCGAGAACACTGCATTTTCCAACAGGGTAATTATAAAGTGTACCTTTAGGGAGGTATTTTCCTTTCAAGTTCACATAAAAAGCTACTCTAAAGACTCTCATAACATAGAAAGATAGGATACTCCACTTAATAAGTCAAAATTAGCAACAGAGTGGTCTTGTTTTATTTGTTGCTTAATCCAATCACTTACCAACAGTGATTATGATGTGAGACGATCCTCTGGACACATCAAACTTCACAGAAATACGATCAAGGAACATACAACAACAGCCATTTTCATTTGTATCTTGAGACTTTCATATTCCTTAGGAAACATCTTTCTTTATAGGACATGATCTTATTATAGAACAACTCTATTTTCAATCACATCTTTCATATTATAAAATGCCTAACAAAGTTAAATAATATAATTACATAGAAAGTAGTAACAGCGGAGAAGAGAAATTAAGAGGTATAGACAAGGGAGAATATATATTTACTTCCAAGACCTGAAGTGAGATAGGAGTCAATCATGTGGAGAGAGGCAGGATGGCAGAAGCAGCGATGAGATGCTGATGCTCTGGCAGAGGGAAAAGAAGGAAGGGACGTCACAAAATACACAGGAAAAGGCAACAGAACACTCAGGAGCCGAGCAGTGCAAAGGCTAAGTCCACAGTGCAATGAAAGAAGCTGGAAGACAAGCTTAAGACTTACAGAAGAATTCTCAGCTTCCAGTGAAGAGAAAAGATATGGGAAAAAATGACAATGACTGGCAATAAAGTACAGGCACGGGCTAAAGGCAGGTCGTAACACAACACTTACCAAACAGCCCCAGACATAAAGTGATAAAGAAGGGCATAGACAACTCTACAGCACAGTACCAAATGCAAGCATGCATAATGTGCTCATAAATCAAGAAAAGGTGTCATCGCTTCTGAATCCTACTGAAACTTATCAAGAAACACTATTTCAAGAAAAGGATTATCTGATTCAATCTAGAAATCCAAGCACACAGGAATGAAGGACCATGAGAACAAAGTGAAATTATATTAGAATGTGGTACAGCACTCAACTAATAGTACCTGATCAGTTTCAGGACTCATCATCGGCCCTCTAAGTTTCTACAGGAACACACTGTCTTACATTCCCTCCTGCTTCTCTGGGAATTTTTCTTCAGTCCTTTCCCTGGGTCTTTGTCCTAGTTTGCTTTCCTGTTGCTGTGAATAAACACCATGATCAAAAACAACTTGGGGAGGATAGGGTGTATTTGGCTTACATGTACTGATCACAGTCCATCACGGACAGAAGCTAAGAATTCAAAGCAGGAACCAGGGGGCAGGAACGAAAGCACAGGAGAAACACTGCTTGCTGGCTTGCTTCCCATAGCTTCTTCAGCTACTTTTCTTAGACTGCCTAGGCCCACCTGCCTAGGGACGACACTGCTCACAGTGGGCTGGGCCCTCCTACATCAATTAAGACATGGCCATAGGACAGTCCTCAATTCCACAATTGGGGTTCCCTCTTCCCAGGTGACTCTAGTTTGTATCAAGTTGACAAAAACTAATCAGCACAGTCTTCTTTTTCTTACTCTTCTAAAATGTATGAAGAGGAAGATATTCGAGGAAGGTGATTTGGTATGGCATAATACAAGAAAGTTCTACCTGTCTTAGCCCCTGCCTTCTTTCTCTCCTTCTCCTCCCCGTGCCCACTACCCTTCCGGTAGACCCATCATTACACCCTCAATTGCACTGAGTTTTCAGCCTGGTAGTCGAGCTAAAGTGGAATGGCCAACATTCTGCTCCCTCTTATCACCCAAGATCAGGTTCAGAATGTACCTATCATTCATGTTTCCTCTGCCATCTCTTGTTCTTTGATATTTCCTAGCCAGAAAGACACTTTACTTTCTCAACAGATTATGAATTCCTCAAAATCAGAGAGTATATCTATTTAAAAAACATTTTTAATTTTAATTTATGTGTATGTGTGTATGCACACACCACATATGCATGGGTGCCTGTGGAGGCCAGAAGAGGGAATGGGATTCCCTGGACCTTCAGTTACAGATGATTGCTAAGAACTGAACTTGAGGCCTCAAGAAGCAGCAAGTGCTCTTAACCACAGAGCCATCTCTCCAAAGAATCTCTGCAGTCCCCAGAGAATATATCTTAAGTTTAACTAAACCTGTAAGACCCAGAGTATGCCAACATGCACTCAATAACTCTTTCTTGTTTTATAATTTGACCACAAGAATTATAATAAACAAGCTTAAAGCATAGAAATGAAATCAATGATTTTTCAAGACAAGTTTCATGTGAAAAAAAAGTTTTGTAACTTGATATGGAAAAAAAGAGGAAGAAAATGGATAATAAAAACTGAAACACAATAGGAAAGAATCAAATGTATGAACTTCCCTGGAATCATCTAAGAAGGGATAGTATACATAATGAAATTTCACGGTTCAAAGAGATAAAAAAGTGGGAACTTCAGTGTGCAAAAGCTGCCACTGAATGCATAAAAGAGAATTGACTCTGGCTACAAAGAAACTCTGATTGAAATTAAAGAAAGATTCATGAAAGATATGATTAAAGAAGTAAAAGAAAGCTATTTCTCAAACACAAAAAAATTTAACACTCCAGATCTCTGATAAGACCATAGACTGACTACGGAGAACTGGAAAAACTACAGGTGTTAAAAAAAAATGAAAAAATCCACTAACCTAAGAGCTAGGACAGGAGACAAGCCAAGAGGAAAGAATAGGAGAGCACGGGTAAAATGCCTGTAAGGCTCTGGCCTCAGATATAAGGCAAAACAAAGCCCAGGTGCTGGTGAAAGTCTCCCTTTTCTTTCATCATATTCATTATTTATCTTCCAATCCCACATGCTTAGAAGACATATAATACAGTAGAAAGGCTACTGGGAAGGCTGCCTTAAAATCGTATTTTCTTTTCCTCTAAGTACATGTTCCAGCTAAACCTTAAAAATACTTTTATTAATTCTTTGAGAATTAGTTAAGCCTTTGTTTGTTCGTTGGATCTCTGTGCGTTCAAGGCCACCCTGGTCTACATACTGAGTTCCAGGACAGCTGAGGCTACAGGGAGACGCTGTCTCAAAAAGACCAAAACAAAAAAGGCAAAGGAAAATTATATTCCAATTTTCAAGGTATCCTTTCAAAAAATGCAAGGAGGTGATAAAAATGTCTGGAATGTAGTAGGCTTTTTAGAAGTTTCTGTGAACTAAAGAACAAGAAAGAGGCATCTGTGAAATCAGGATAGAAATGATTTATCAGAAAAAAAGAGCTGGGATTTAACATTCCAGGTAAGTGAGCAACATGTGGCAATGGCTCCCTGGTGCTGGAGTGAAAGGTGTGCACAACCACGCCCACAACCACGCCCACAACCACGCCCAGCTTCCTGGGGTTAAAGGTGTGCACAACCACGCCCAGCTTCCTGGGTTGGCTTTAACAAGTATATCTAATATCTAAAATATTTCATCAACAAACTATTATAACAAGAAGAACAGAAAACCAATAAACAAATATATTCCACTCAATCGATAACCAAAGAAAGACAATATTAAAACAATAATAAGATAGTGTCTTTCATACCAAAACTACCAAATGTAAAAAACGGTCACACTGTCTTAGCAATAATTGTGCGGATATCTTGGTTTCTGCATGGTTTATACACAGTGTTTCCAATTATCTTTTCACTGGCATTTATAGCAAACAATCTTGGTAGATACAGAAGTCTTCCCAGTAGTAGCACGCAGGCTTGTTAACTACCCAGGAAAATAAGGCTCATGTGTCTACCAAGAGTAACAGACAGTCAAGTAACCTACTGTGAAACTTTACTTGTAACCTTCTATGAAAGATGCAAGAGTCTCCTCTTTTCACACAATCTATTGCAGATGCTAGTGCCATCTGACCCTTGTCATATCAGCCTGTGAAAACTGGGATTCTAGGACCCAGCACAAGATGACACTGTCTGACAGCACTTTGTCTCTGACCCAAGAGTCTCATGCCTTCTGTAAACAGCCATAAAACACTTGGCTTTCATAAGCAGGACACACTCTCAAATTCTGACCTTTTTTGACAATGATACATTAAAAGCAGCAGTCTTATAAATTATATAAATTTAGTCTTACCAACAATCTTTTTGAAGGTGCTATTGCAGAATCTTCACAAATTTAAAATTTATAGTTTTTGACCCAGCAATTTAAGCATTTGCATCAAGGAAATAAATAAATATGCAAATATATACATTAATGGCCTCCCAGTATACAAAGATGCTTCAAAATCCCACTGTGGACCATGGATAGCACAGAATCCTATACATACCATACTTCTTCCCATACATACATACCTAGTCAACCTTTCATTTAAGAGAAGCACTTGATGGCTTCTCTATGGCATATCCAAATTTCTAACAAGAGTACTTCTGAGCCAGATTTGGTAACATTATTAATTTTTTTTTTTAAAAAAAGCTTACTTAAACACAGCACTGCAAAACCACCAACTGATATGATAGCCAGGCCACTTACTTATTAACTAACAAATGAGAGGTGTTGGATTCACTGGACAAAGATATGGTTCGTGGATCAGGATGACACATGATTTATATCACTCAGAAGTGTACACAATTTAATTTAAATTGAAGTTTAACGTGTTTACTTTGGAATTTTCCATTTAATATTTTCAAACCAAGGCTGACTGTGGGTAACTGAAACCTTGGAAAGAAATGGGAGGTAAGGGGGAGCTACTCACATACAAAAATGATGCTCTAATTTCAGTTGTGACATAAATTTATAGTATCCTAAGAATCAACAGATTGGTTAAAGTAACTGTTAGTTTATTCCTACAGTAACTTACCAAAAAGACTTTTAAAAGGACAAGATGTTATATAAAAGAGATGCTCATCAATGATTATTAAACAGAAGCTGCACAAAGTTACATATGTCACAGACTATATGAAATAAACACACATACACATACTTGAATATCTGGAAAGTAAGAACAAATTACTAAGCAATGATTAGTGTTTAAGTGTCTACAATAGCAACACTGGAAAATTTGACATCTGGAATATCCTGTTGGGATGGGCATGAGGCCATGAGGGAGGCATTTATCTCCTCACTGTACTGTAGCTGATGAAGAGTCATGCTCTACATATTACAGCGAAATACAAACTCAAGAGACATACAGAATTTGAATCAGCTGCTGTATGTACAACTCTGAGGAGCAACTCTCCATGGTGAGTTGGAGTTCAGGTTTATTAAAAAATGGTCACTAATTCAAATGACCATGGAAAAGGCAAGCAGAAAAGAATTTC